GCAGAGAAACACAGTTCTTCAGTATGTCGATAGAATGTTGGAATTTAGAATCACTATTGGAAGAGTTCATTAACTGACAGAATCATCAGTTATTCAGAATGTGAATTATCAGGATCGTATCTTATTCGGACAGTTTTCAGAAGTTGTACGTAATCAGAAGGGTATTCACTCTTTAATACCACAAATTCTTGTCCATAGATCATCTTCAGAATCATCGCTGAATAGATATTCCAATGGTCTTTATTTCATTTCCAAGCTTCCACGATATCATGAAATACTGACGTGCTTGATTTGTAGTTCATGTTCCATAAGGACGATACATCATGTAAATTCATCCGAATTTCCAGGCTTATCCTAATCACTTACTTAATCCTCAGTCATCGAAGTTACTTAGTTCATTTAGCATTCAAGTCCATTCCAATTACCTCGATATTTTCCAGAGTAATACAAACGTTCCTGTATTTCAGATATATATTGTACTTCAGATCCATTCAATTTGGTCTTCTTGGTTGATTTGTCGAACAAACGCCCAATTCTTAATACTGAATGCGATCTAGGGTTGAGCTGAGCTGAATACTTCCAAAATTATCATCAAGCTAAACTTGAGTACACGAACAAGCATTCAAGTAATATATATGTCGTTCAGGTACTGACATATCATTAAAGTTGATCGGCTTACTTAAGTTGTGTTCCATACTTTTTTTAAGGTAGTCCAATACCTATGTTTATTTGGATTCCTTAATTAATCCAAGGCATTTACTTAGAATAGGACACAAGGGTATTTTGGTAAATTTGGTGTTCATTTTTATTCCATTTATTTCAGAGCTCGAGGATATCCAATCATTCCTGAGCTTGGTGATATTCTTGGTTCATTTCCATTACAGGGGTATTTTGGTCATTTTACAGATTCAGCGTATTTCAATCATTTCCTTCTGTCCGATCTTACTATTAAATTCAATCTTATCATTTATTTCAGTCATTTCGAACAATTATGACAACAGAACACCCCCGATAAATTACTCTTCCAGTATTTACTCATTATTCGAATATTTTTAGGTCAAGTGTCTTCTCAGACTTTACAAACGGAATATCATAAATTTTCCTGCACTAAGTCGGGATCTTAACAATTAAATCCGTACTTAATCGAGTTAAGTACGAATCCTCTAAGTATTTTCTCATTCAGAGTCACCTCAGACTATTCTACCTCTTAAGGGCATTTCCGTAATTTCTTAACCAGATAAGTTCGATATTAGCTCTTAACGAAAATAATATAATTTAGAGATCCTATGATTAATTGCTTTCTTGAACAATCTCTGATCTTGAAATAATTCCCTTAACACACTTCTAGTATCTTGCATAAACCCTCTTGGGGTTAAAAACCGGTTATCCATAATGTCTACGTATAACTATCATTTCTTATAAACATCAATATTTTATCAGATCAATATGTCTGTAAAATCCTCTTATCTAACTTCCATATTCCAATCTTGTCTTTTTATAACACAAGGGTATTTTCGTAATTTTACCCTACCGGAGTATTTTTATAAATTCACATCCAAATGCCTTTAACATTTAACCTTTGATGAAATAAATTACAAGTTACAGATCCAGGTTGATTTCTTTACCACTAAGCACATAACTTGTAATTTAATTCTAGTAATCCCTTAATTTCTTATAAAAGTCATCTGAACCATAATCAATTACTGAACCTTTTTACCGTATTCAGATCGAGTGTAGAACTTCATTAATTACACATATGAGACCAAACATTTTCATTCATGCATTTACCAATACCAACATGTTCTATAAAGCATAAAGAGGTAGTAAAGTATTACCTCGATTTTCGTGCAATATCGATCGACCATAAAAATTCCATTCGAATGCCTTTGATCTTCAATTCAACTTCCAATAATTCCTCAGATACATATCAACATAAATTATATCAGAAACGGAGCTTAATTACGATAAACGGATCGAATCGGGTGATAAATCAGTGAAAGACGGCTTACCGGGTTCGAATTTGGCGAAACGGACTTCGGATTCGGATTCAGGACGTCGAAAGCATAAAATATGACTTTTCGGAAATTTGGAATTTTTGGTCAAAATCAAAGTCAACGGGTTTGACTGACAATTTCGAGGTCTTCGGGTTTGAATTTCGAAAAACGGACAGCGGAATCGAATTTGGAACGTCGAAAAATGTCAGGATAGGTATACTCGGTCGAAGTCAAAGGTCGTTTAATGCCCGATCAAAGCCGGTCAAAGTTTTGGTCAACAGTGGTCAACTTCGGTCAACGGTCAACGAGTCAATGGTCAACAGGTCGGGTCAACGGGTCGGGTCGGGTAACCGGGTCGGGTAAACGGGTCGAGTCCGTCAATGGGTCGGGTCGGGTTGTGACCGGTCAAACCGGTCAAAACAGTTCCAAAACCGGTCAAACCGGTCACTTTTCCCTTCCCCACGCGCAGTGGCGGCGCGTGGGGGCGCGTGAACAGTGATAAAATCCCGGAAAAATTTCTAAAAATTATTTTGAGCGATTTCGAGATACTTACAAAGCTCGGTTCATAATTTTGAACGGCGGAGAGCTCGATTTCAACAAATCGGGAAGTTTGACCGGTTCACCTCCCAACGCGCCGCCGCCGCCGGAGAAAAAGGAGAACACCGGTGGACTCGGAACGGCACAAGGAACACGATGGTGCGGGAGGTGTCGTAAACGGATGACCCGATCGTCGTGAATCGATGAAAAACCAACTAAAACCGAGTTATTACCGACGATACTTCCGACTGAAATTCACGACGAACGGCGATGATTCATGACGAAAGGTTTGAGGGGTTTTGTTCCTCGGTTGACAACGAACACGATGGTTGTTTCGGCTTGTCGTTTGGAGGTCGGACGGCGAGTAGATCGGAGTTGGAAGTAGGGAGAACGGGAGAGGAAAACTGGAAAATTTTCCAGAAACATACGGGAGTCTGGGGGGTTTATAACATCTCATAATTAAAAATGGCTAAACCAAGAGTTTAGCCACTGAACTTCCTGCACTTCTTAAAACGGTCTGTCAACTTTGAAATCTTACAATTTAATCCCTTATTTCTTTCAAAATACCAAATTAAATCCACCAATTTATATTTTATTAAATTTAGCCCCTAAATTGGGGTGTTACATAAACTTTCAATTTTTTTTAAATCATACCTAAAGTCTAGTTTTTGTTTCATTTTAGTACCCCGTCGTTAAAAAATTTAGTTTTTGTTCCATTTTAGTACCCCGTTCAAAATTTAACATTAAATTTTGAAAAAATTGAAAGTTTAGGTACTAAAATGGACCAAAATTTATAGTTTAAGTATTAAACGCGTTAAGTTTTTAAAGGCAGTACTAAAATGAAATGAAAATTAAATATTAGGTATGATTACAAAAAAATTTGAAAGTTTAATTACTAAAATAAACTAAAACTAATAGTTTAAATATTAAATGTGTAGTTTACTCTAGAAATTATTAATATCGATGTAAACAGACCGTAGTAGTCAGACACAATAACTAATATGGGAAAAGTAGCCAAATTCAGGGACTAGATGAATTTTTATCCCTATCGATTTAAACAAAACAACACTGGTACTTCACGATCGTGTCTCCGGTTAACAACATCTAATCATCATGCAAATGCTATTGGTGCCGGCAACTCGCTCCGGCTTCTCTGTGACGGCGGCGAGTCCCTTTCCTCCACCTCACCGTCTCCGGCCACCGCTCACTTCTTCCTCAGTTTCTTCACTTAGTTTTACCTCCTCTAATGATGATGCTGACAAGGCAAAGCTCGCCCAGGTACTCCTTCACTCTCTTTATCTTAATTTCAGACTTGCCTATTTAGCAACTAATAAGTAATAACCTTCACGTCTCCTTAACCTTATCTTAGATCACCTTACTATTAATTATGTTTCAAATTTATCATTTTCTTTTAAAAATTGGTGATTGCCTAAATTGAATGTTAACATTATGACTGAGATATAATAGTCGTTTAAGAATGTATGATCAGATTTTATCATATCACAATCAATAGGATAACGTTCAGCTCAGAATATCATCAAATTTTCAACCGAAAATGATGAGTTTGAAACAGAATGAATAGTCGGGTGACCATTTTGTAACTTTTAATAGTCGATGAATTTAACAAAGCAACACTCTATAATAGAATGATTATTTTATGACTTTTAATAATTGAGTGACTTAATAAAGTAATACCTTATAGTCAGGAACTATTTGTGTACTTTACCCTAAATTCTAAAAAAAAATTGATCGAGCCGTGTATCCAACCTATGATTTTTCCTAGGTACTTGATTCGAGTCTAGGCCAAACTATTTTTATAACCGGATATTGAACCCGATAGTTTTATTATATATATATTTAGTTTAAATTATATTTTTATTTTAGTTTTCTTAATATTTTTACCTTAAAATTAAATTTAAATCCCTAAATTTTTGTTAGGTTTATATTAATACTTTTAAGTTTTTAATTTTTAAAAGGTTTCTATCCATTTGTCCATATGAAGATTCAAAGTAAGATACTCATATTTTTAATGTTTTCTTTTGAAAATAAACTTTAATATATATATATATATATCCTTAAAATTAACTTCAAATCATTAATTTTGTGTATGATTATGTATTATGAACTTTTAAATTTTTATATATTTTCTATGAGAATTTAAAAAAATAAGAAAATATATAAACAAAGTATACGTAACCCGAAAATGTGGGTCTCCAAATTTTACAAGTACCCCACTATCAGACACTCAAACTTAACAGACCAGATCACGGGCCGACAAATATACTATTCGGAGAATCGAATATCTAAAAATACGGGTACTTGATTTTGAACGCCCCTAACCCCCTAGATATAATAGTAAGACATATCATATTTTCATTTATTTAATTAAATATATGTTTCATTGAATTAAAATATATCCACTTGTGCGTTATTGATGGAATCAATGATGCTGCCATTCATACACAATCATCAACTGCAAACATCATTGAAGGTCTCTTATCTCCTCTCTTCAATGGGGTGGCTCTGTTTCTTCACCATCATTGCAATCTCATGTGTTTCCATAGCGAAAACAGAGCAGCGTCCCTCGGCAACGGACCTGGATTCGCAGACATGGGACCTCTCGGTCCCGGCCAAGAAGCCCGAGTTCTTGGATTGGTTAAAGAGGGTCAGGAGGAGAATCCATGAGTACCCGGACCTGGCTTTTCAAGAACACGAAACTGGTCAACTCATAATGTCCGAGTTGGACTTGTTCGGGATCGATTACTCATTGCCCGTTGCCGAGACAGGAATCGTGGCCTCCGTCGGGTCTGGGGTCGAGCCCTGGTTTGGTCTTCGAGCTGACATGGACTCCCTTCCAATCCAGGTTGCCTTTTGCCTCTTCTCTTAGTGAATATCTTCATCGTTATTAATAGGTAGATATGGTATTGAACCTATGCTCCAATGAATTTCCGGTATGGTATGTGCCTAATACAATATGTTCGTGTAATGGTGTTATGTTCTATTGGTAAGTCGTTTCCCGTCGAATATTGTCAACGGTTAACCGAGAACGTCTCGAGATTCAAGCCCCGTGCACATTTTAACGTCCGACTTAATTTCTCTACGTCAATATAATGAAGGAAATGGTGGAGTGGGAGCATAAGAGTAGGAACAAAGGAAAGATGCATGCTTGTGGGCACGATGTCCATGTGACTATGCTGCTAGTCGCAGCAAAGTTACTTCAGCGCAGGCAACAGATTTGAAGGGCACGGTTAAGCTTGTTTTTCAACTCGGGGAAGAGTCTAATGCCGGTGCTTATCGTATGATTAAAGACGTGTGGACTATAATGTCCGGGCCATATTCGGCTTACACGTCTGGCCGGAATTGCCCACAGGAACCGTCGGGTCCAGACCTGGCCCTATACTTGCTGGCTCAGCCAGGTTTCAAGTCAAAATCCAAGGGAAATCCGGGCGTGCTGATCAGCCTCATACGATTGGAGATCCGGTACTCGCAGCATCGTTCTCTATCCTTGCCCTGCAACAGCTAATTTTTCAAGAGATGAATCCTCTCGAACCCAATGTAACAAAAGCTCTCTCGGCATTCATTTATTTTTCATTCACAATACTTGAAACCGATATCCTATGTGTATTCATTTTCACCGAACCACAGGTTGTCTCAATAAGGTTCGTCCAAGCCGGTCATGCCGCAAATGTCATCCCCGAAACAGTAACTTTCGGAGGCACATTTCGGAGCATGACCAATGAAGGCTTGTCTTAACTGCAACAGAGGATCAAACAGGCCAGTATTGTGTTTTTAACTACAATTTTGAACTTCTAGTGTTGATATTTATGAACTTACAAGTGGTCGACGCTCAAGCGACAGTACATTGATGTACCGCGACCGTAGACTTCTTCGAGAAAAAAATGAGACCTTATCCCGTAACCGTCAACGATGAACCGATGTACAAACATGCGAGGGAATCTCTGGTTGGAAAATCCAATGTAGTACTGTTCCCAATGATGATGGCAGCTGAAGATTTCAGCTTCTATGCAAACAAAATGCCGGCTGCATTCTTCATGATCGGGATGAAAAACGGAACACGAAAACCGAGCTACTGACTGCACTCGCCGTACTTGATTATCGTCGTTCTTCCCATCGGAGCAGCCTTCCATGCTGCAGTAGCCATATCTTACTTGGATAATCATGGTGTTTCTAGAGCTCAAAAAGTTATTATTCTCGAACATAAATGTACACGACGGACCAAAATTTATCACCTAATAATTCCAGAACATAAATTTAGGGTAAATTATATATTTAATACCTTAAATATCAGTTTTTATCCGTTTTAGTACCTAAACTTTCAACTTTTTCAAAAACATATATAACGTTTAGTTTTTGTTTCATTTTAGTACCCGCCGTTAAAAACTTAACACTTTTAGTACCTAAACTATCAGTTTTGGTCCGTATTAGTACATAAACTTTCGATTTGTTTTCAAACTTAACGTTAAATTTTGAACAGGAAACTAAAATGAAACAAAAACTAAACTTTAGATATGATTTGGAAAAATTAAAAGTTTAGATACTAAAACTGACCAAAACTGATAATTTAGATACTAAATGCATAATTTACCTTAAATTATAAAATAAAGTTTTAATTGTATCATATATTTTTTAAAGTGCGATTATCATTCTAAATTAATCTTTAAACTTTTGGTTATTTCGATTTTATCCATAAATTATAAATCTTATTTTATATTGCTCCCAAACTATCAATATTAATTAAATCGTTATAAAATTGTTAACTTCAATGTAAAAACACCGTAGCAGTAAGACACAAGGATTAGTGTGAACCGAAAAACACATTTAGGGAAAAGAAACTCAGGGACTAATATGGGGATATAGCCAAAATCATGGACTAATATGGGAAACGTAGCTAAAATCAGGGACTAGACGAATCTTTATCCCTATCGATTTTATATCCATCGATTTAAAGAAAACATCACTGGCATTTCATGACCGTGTCACTGGTACACACCATCTAATCATCATGCAAATGCTATTAGTGCCGGCAACTCGCTCCGGCTTCTCTGTGGCGGCGGCGTGTCCCTTTCCTCCCCCTCACCGTCGCCGGCCACCGCTCACTTCCCCTCCAAATTTTCTCACTTCACTTGAAACCACGAAACCGAAGCAACCATTCTCCCCGCTTGCTTCCTGGAATCATCTCGATGTTAAAAGATCTAAGCTTTTTTTGAGCAGAGCGTCTTCTTCTTCAGTTTCTTCACCTAGTTTTACCTCCTTTAATGATGAGGCTGACAAGGCAAAGCTCGCCCAGGTACTCCCTCACTCTCTTTATCTTAATTTCAGACTTACCCTTTTTCGACCGATTCAAAAGCTTCATTGGGTTTGATTTATTTGTTGCTGAAGTTTCAACTTTATCTAATTGGGTTTCTGCTCTTTGACTTAGCTTGGTCAATTTTTTTCTGATATATTATCTTCATGGTAGTTTTTAAATCTTGATAAAGCAAAAGAAATGCAACCAGAAACCCGCATTGTTCTTGTAGTCAGTAGCATCAAAACCCAGTAAACAGATATAAACATCAGGACTAATAGCATTCTGTGGGTTAATTTTGGATTATTTGTGTAGGGTTTTGGTATTTATGAACTGTAAATGAAGGGGCTTGTTATTATTTTAATTCTGTTTGCTTTGAGGATTTGTTAGGATAAGGATTTTGAGTTGGAGTGGTGCAGGTTGCGAAGAGGTTAGAGACGACATCGAGGCACTTTAAGCGATTGGGGAATTTAGGGTTTTGGGGGCAGCTAGTTTGCACGGTGGTGTCAGCGGTGATACTTTCGTTCTCGGTTGTGGTTACTGGGAAAATTACATCGCCTGCTACTTTTTATGCTACCGCTGGTGGAATTATAGCTGCGTTCATATCCGTTTTTTGGTCATTTGGTTATATTCGGCTTTCGGAGAAACTCAAGAGGACTGCTAATGATCCATCAAAGGTATTGTGAGTTGAACTTGTGTTAACAGTTTAAAGTATCTGATTCATTATTCATAGTGATCCTTCAAAGTTATTGTGAGTTGAACTTACATGTTTAAATTGTACCTTGTTCTTAATGTATTCCGCGGATGAACTTAATCAAATTTTGACTATATATTCAGCTATGCATTTAATGTAATTGATGGTCATTTTAAATCCAGAGTATTGAGAGTTGAAGATGAGCAATCCATTTTAATCTATTCCGCTCATGAACCTAATTGTACCTTATTTCCTTGAATTAGAACTGTAGACTTAGTGATCCATTTGAACTTGATCTAGATTACGCTCACCTATCATGTGTAGGATTGTTCTGGAGTTTGAAGGATTAGTTATGGTTAGGCGGGTGGCCGAATTCGGGGCTTATTTTTTATCTTTGATGAATAGCCGAATTCGGGGCTTATTTTTTATCTTTGATGAATACTTGTTGCCTCATTCAACTTCCGCTAAAAACTTTTCCCTTGAGTTTCAGGCTCCTCCACGAATCGATGTTGTGAAAAGCTTGAAAAATGGTATAGTGCTGAATCTTTTGGGAATGGGTGCTGCTATTCTTGGCATGCAAGCAACGGTGGGCTTACTAGTTGCAAAGGCCCTTACCACTTCAACAACTCCTTATTACCAAGGAATTGCGCCCGGCTCTAGTCCGGTTCTTGCCTTGGATGTATTCTTGGTGCAGGTACATAAACTACTTTGATCTATAACATTTAACTGTTGGGAAAAAAAAACATAGCATTTAACTGAATGAGATCCATGTTTTTGAATTTGAGGGTTTAGTAGAAGAAAATAATTGAAGTCGTAAAGCTGCCTTAAGTTTACTTGCTAGTGATGCGTTGTTGTTTTGCATGTAAAGAGTGAGACTGAGCAGCTAGACTGATAGCAGTTAAATCATTTAGAGGTGTTTCGCTACACGAACAAATGAAAATCGAAGTTTGCTTTTCGCCATGCTTTATTTTACTAATATGTAGGAACATTTATGCTTATTGATCAAACACAAACTTGTAATGGAGAATAACCTTGGTCAGTGCATGGCCTAACATGTATCTTGCTTGTTGCAGGCATCAGCTAACACTATCCTTTCACATTTTCTGGGGCTGGTGTTCTCGCTCGAACTGTTGCGGTCGGTAACACTGCCTGATATAGAGACTATTCCAATTCCCAAGATTGCGTAAGTTCCGCCCTTCTTGGTAAATATTATGAATTGAAGCTCGTCGACTGGAACATGATTTTGTGGCCATGACTGTTGAAATGTGGAATAGATGAATTTGAAATTACATCTGATGGGTGTTTCACAAGCCATCCTTTGCATTTTTTTTAAAATAAATGCATCTACCAATACAACAAGTTCCCATTATATCCGAAGTCGAACAAAGTGACCGTAAATGATGGTAGAACTCTTCCGGTATGGTTTCTTTAATCCACAAAATTTGAACTCGAGAATCTATTTATGGGATATCGAACTCTTTATATCGAGCTCTTTATAACTTGACCCGAATGGACATCAATAACATAAGGTTTTATTACCATATACTAAGATAATTCTCCTACAAAGTAAGGCAAGACCCATTGGAGAACATCTTTGTTTACACCCAATTAAGCGTTTAAAATACATCAAGAAGTATACATCTCCTCCGAGGAGAATAAATTATCACGGTTAGTTCAACCCCTAAAGATCAATAACTCGAATACAGTCCGAAAACAGAATCTTGTCCCCTCCGGTAACACATAACCACCGAATACCCTGTAAAAAATACACATGCTTTATAGCAACAGAGGCAGTAAAGAACCAACAAGGGAATCCCAGCATTGCTTTGGAAGGGCTGCAACCGTAGAGTTGTAAGCAAAAAAACATAGAGAAGGAAGATAATTTACCCTATTGCATCTTCTTTTCCTTGTTTGAGGCCAAAGCGATCTTCCTTAATACCGATTCATCGATTTTCCTATACTGCGTTTGAATGATTCTGTGTGTTGCACGAAGCTTCTCGTCGACGAAGTGCTGGTACTTATCGTATACCACCGGAACCGATAGACTAAGAAGTCCTACAAAACATCTCTAACGAAATAAGCACGGATGAAAAGGAATCATCTGGTGATAGAAACATATAGGGTCTCATAAAACACACCGATATAGACCAGAGTGAGGAATTTGCAGACTACCGATGTATGACACCAACCACAAGCCGACTGCTACCTGCGCAGAGGATACATTAAACTCCGGCAAGTCAAGAATCGACAAAACACGTACAAATAGAAAGGCAAAACTCAACCCGGAGAAAAAAAAATTCAGATCTCTACGGACTGCAATATCATGTGCAATAGATAATGTATGATTGATCCGTAGGTGTAGTTCATCAGCAACCATTCCAACAGTCTGCTCAGAGATCTCTAAATCAGGAAGGGGCGGCAAAGGTCTACATTATAAAGCATAACAAACATGTTAGTTCATCAACTACTTGTGGTTTGAGTCTTCGGTTGACACTTGCTCCGAGTTCAATCATCGGACAACTCCGACCCCTACCCTTCATCGGAAAAGAAGAAAGAGATTCCAACCAAGAATGCAGTTGAATGCATAGAAAGTTACCGGAACAGGAAGAACGAGGAAGGTTAACAATGGGCAAAACCTGTTGAGGAGGGAAGCAGATTTGGCCCAGAGGAAGAGAATAACAAGAAGGAGCAATAGTACATTGGCCACGAAAGACAAGAAAGTATAACCAGCTCTTTCGAAAAGGTACCACAGCATCGTCGACGAGGCCAGCAGCATCAAAGCTCCGCTGCACGAGTTTCTCCACAGCAGCACATCGGCAACTACCAACAACAACAGTGCATAAATAAAAATCAAACCAAATAATGCTTTCCTGAATATATATATATATATATAGAGAGAGAGAGAGGAGACCCGCGCCACCACCAAAAACTTGATGAACTGATATGCGAGGAATAGCTTGGGAATCCACCATGGGTAGGGATGGCAACTCAACCCGAACCCGACGGGTTCCGACCCGATCGGGTCGGATTTTTCTATAAAAAATCGGGTTCGGTCGGTTTTTTTTAAAAGCACTGTTCGGGTTGGGTCGGGTTTAGGGTGGAAAAAATCTAACCCGACCCGAAAAAATATATAATTTTATCCTATATATTTAGGAATAATTACAATAATATCCCTATATATATATTTTTTTTTCAATTAAGTCACTATTTTTATTGAATAAAAATATTTTTTTTCTATTTCGGGTCTAGTTTCTAAGTCATATACTCGGGTCGGGTCGGATGAAATCTTAATTTCGTCAGGTCGGGTCGGGTCGGGCGACCCAAAAACCCGACCCGACCCGACCCATTGCCATCCCTAGCCATGGGAGACAGCTGGTTTAGTTTCTTCTGCAATTGATTTTTCTAGAGAGGAAGGAAAGGGAGGAAAGAAATCGAATTACCAAACGGAAACATACATCGTAATCATCGACATGATCGTTATTGTAATATCTCGCTTCTTATCCTCGGGTTTGAAAGGTTTGAGTAGTTGGCAGACATTGTAACCATATAAAAACTCTTGAATGAAAGAAAAAAAAAATCATGCAGAGCACGTATAAAATCGTTTGATCACTCCATCATGTACAGCACGTAGTCATCAAACTATTCAAAAATAACTTCATGTATAGCACGTGTAAATTGAACAATCAATTCTCTTGCCTTGAAATATAGGTCAATGAAAATTATATGGAACTCTTTCAAGGCTTAAAGTTTGGTTGAGATGCAGATGTATTTATCCATCGAAGCAACAATCGTTTTCTTATAGACATCATACACCAAGTTCGAATACGGCATCATACACCAAATTCAAATACGGTATCACTCAACCCTTCTTCAAACTTTTAATGATAAAAAAAATAGATGAATCATCGGTTGATTCGATGTCGACATCAAACATTAGCTTCTCAACAGTTCTCACCAGAAATAGTGACAATTCATGTGAAGAAAAGTTCATAAGAAAACAAAGGTAGATTCAAGAGTGGGCAAATATTATACCAAACTAATGTTATCATTCAAGTAGCAAGTATACATCAAAGACAACAAAATCCCAAAGTACACAACAACATCAGATGAACTCATTTGATATGTTTTTGATGTCAGAAATCAAATTAATAACTCAGAACCTTTTCTTTCCAAGTTACATTACCCTCAGGCCTCATGCATTCGCTTCTCGTTGTTGGTATTTCTAGTTCCATCAAATCGGAGGCAACGCTCACAATAAAGGATGAAGCATGGATATCAAGCAAATGTTTGTTCATTGTGCTGCTGCTTCATCGTGTTCAGAGTAAGCTTCATCATCTGAAGATTCTTCCTTCTTGTTCTCTCCTTCCTCACCACTTGTTTTCGTCTTCTTCTCCTTCTTCCTTTGCTTTTTCTTTTGGCGTTTCAGGCGCTTCTTAGCCGTCCGTTCCTCGCCAGCTTTCAATCTTTCTTCCCTTCTCATGTTAAACTCGGTTATTTCCTTCCTTTTCTGGTAGTCAGCATCCATTCTCGCAAGTCTGTCTTGCTCCTTTCGTCTCATTTGACGATACTGTTGCAACAGACAGAAAGCTTCCTTTGAGGCCAGGAAAACAAACACTAGGAAGACTAGGAACTCATCTAACATGTCCAGATTGTCCAAAAAAACATAAGCCATACACTTAATAGTACTTGGGGACATGCATATACTTTATGGCATATTATCATATGCTGCACGAACCTAAAAGCAACAAAAATAAGTTCCATTATAAACTGAAACGAAGATTCGGTGTTTACGAAAATTTACAGACTTGGGTGAGTGGTGATTAAATTTTATGCCGAATCAACAATACTATATTCAAATTCGCTCTCTTTTTTTATTTTTTTGTAAAAGGGAAAGGGTTAACCTATGTAGACAGGTATGGCAATTCAGTACCGTACCAAGACGGGTACAGCTTGGGTACTTACCAGGGACGTCCCATATTTAAGGGATACGATTGAAATTAATTATGTACATCGTAAAAAATTTCGAGGACCTATCGGGGATGATATTTGATGTTCGCACGCATACCCAAGATTACTTTTAAGATTTAAATAGTAAAAAAAGGATATAGATGAATTAGGTTATGATTTTATTTTTTAATTAGGATTATATTTATCTTACAAAGATGTATTATTCGGATCCAAAAATTTGATAGAATAACTAATTTGGTGCTGAAACTCCATTGCTCCAATCTTTGGCTTTCTAAGTGCATGACAAACTACTTCATCATTTTGTCGTGAAAGAAATTGGAGTACTTATCCCTTCGTCAACTCACTTAGTAGGAATATTTATGACCTTTTAATGAGTACCTTATAATTTTAGAAATTATTGTTTGTCGTCCCCGTACCCGTCCATTATCTGTCCCGTACCCATATCAGTGCAACATAGGGGTTAACTATACAGAGATTTAAATCCTAAATCTGTTGAAAGCTACCTCTTAAGGACTAACAAACCAGCATTTCCATAAACCCTAAAGATACCTAAGCCAAACCGGTTAACAAACAATCAAATTTCGCACACGAAATACCCAATTACCCATCTAATCTCAATTTACTAACAGGGAAAGCAACGGCTAAGATTTAGCAGGCAACCCATAAAAAAGCAAAACAAAAAAAATTGAGAATAGAGAGCTAGAGTTAATAAAAAAAACCTGGTGGAAATCGCCGGACCCGGAACCAGCAGAACTTCCGGAGGTATTGTTAACACGGACGGGAACATTCTCTATAATGCGACGAAGCTTCACCTCCAAATCCTCTTCCTCCTCCTTGAATACCGGTTTCTCGTACTCCATAATCGCCGTCGATGCAGTCGACTTAGGTCGCGGCGGAAGCCCTGATTTCGGCTCCGTTAACGCCAACTGGGTGTCACCGTCCTTTGGCCTGCCCGTCGACATTCCGTGGCAAAACCCTAACAATTATGGAATTTGGGGTTTCGTGGCAGAATCGTGATATGCTCGTCTTCTTTATTCACGACCACGGTTCGAGTTTTTTTTATCAATAATAATAAGGTAAATGACACGGTTGGTCCTTATATTTTGACTTACATTATAAATAAGACCTAAACTATATTTTTTTCGTCTTATCTAAAGTTTTTTTTTGTCAAAATAAATACCTAAACTTGTTTTTTATTCAAAATAGGTGCCTAAAGTGTTTTTGATCAAAACAGGTATCTAAAGTATTCAATTTTTCATATAAGTTCTAAAAAAGTTAACATGTGACATTAATTAAAGAATATTTTAGGTACTTAGATGAAAGATGAAAAAATTGAATAATTTAGGTGTTTATTTTGACTAAAAAATACTTTAGGTATGTAAATGAAAAAATTGATATACTTTATATACTTATTTGTGATATAAACCTTATATTTTCGGTAACATAAATAGCCCATCACGTTTGATAGGCCTTCTATTTTTGGGCTATTTGATGGATTGTTAAATTTCTACAAACTGAAAACATAAATAGCCCAACACGTTTACAGACTAATAAATAAAGATTAATTATCTGGTTAAATTTTGTGTTTGGTCCTTATACTATGTTTATAACTTTTGGCTCTAGTATTTTAGTTTTTATAATTTAACCCACTTACTTTTATATTGATATTAATTCATCCAAATTGTCAATACCGTTTAACTGTTCTCGTTGGATTGTTTAGACGAGGTTTCCCTTTGGATTTTATATTTTCACGATGCTCTTCAAAATATAAATGTTTTATTTCACTCCAATTTTGGGATCTAACTGGATATTACAATAATTTCTTCTTTAAATTAAAAATATATATTCATTAACATGATGACTTAAAAGGTTATATAAAAAAATATAGGTGTTAGCAATTTAATAAGAAAATTTAATTGTATTAACATTTGGATTAACTCATATGTTAAAAAATTAAGAAGATCAATTTATGCTAAATGAAAGTATAAGTCTCAAATTTAAATTTGCTAGATGGACCAAAACCATAATTTTACCACGCCATTTCTTCTCATAAAACAAACGGTATTACTATTACGTTTTTATGGTATATTTAAAAATAAAAGGGTAAAAGTACACAAATGGTCCTCCAACTATAGGATATTGCTTTATTTAGTTCCATGAATATTAAAAGTTATAAAATGGTCCTTCGACCATAGGATGTTGCTTTGTTGAGTCCCTCAACTATTAAAAGTTACAAAATGGTCACCTGACTATTCATTATTTTCCAAACTCATCCTTTTTCTTTTAAAAATTTGACAATCGTGTGAGTTGGACGATAACATGTTGACTAAGATATAATAGTCGTTTGAGATTCTAAGATAAGATTTTATCATATCTCAGTCAGTAGGTTAACATCTAGCTCATTTTGTCATATTTTTAATAGAAAATGACGAGTTTAGAACATAATTAATAGTTGGGAGACCATTTTATAATTTTTAATAGTTGAGGGGTCATTTCATAACTTTTAACAGTAAGAGAACTCAACAAAGCAATATCCTAAAATTAAGGTCCATTGTGCACTTTATTCAATATAAAAATAGTTTATTGAAATTATTATCTTATTAATTTATGGAAATTATTAGTTTAGATATGAGGCTCAGAACGAGACCCAAAAACTTATTATTTTAAAGAGATTATTAATTTATCAAACATTAATTTATAGAAGCCTACTGTTTATATTAATTTAAACTTTTAAAAAGTTGAAATAATATATATATCAATAAATAAATAAATCTAACTATGATTAATTTACGAGATTGAATCTATTTTAGTTTAAATCTATTAAATTTAATAGTGAGAAATGATTAAATCTATATTGATGGATTTTGAATTCTTTCATAAGATGTTTTGGACAATCTTGAGTATATTATATGTACACAAACCACACTTTAGTGGTTAAAAAGGCAAATATCAAAATTAGTCCTCAATATTTATCAAAATAATTATTTTGGTTGTTATTACTCATTTTTTTAGTATTTTAGCCTCAATGTTTCACTTTGAATCAAAAAGTCCCTATATAGATGAAAACTATTAGTTAACACTCCAAAATAAGGGGGTTTCTAAAATAAAATGTTGAGTTTCAAAATGCTCTAAAAAGGAAAAAGGGCCAAAGTGTCAACTCTATCAAATGTTAGGAGCCTTTTTTGCCCTAAAATGAAACGTTATGGGTCAAAATAATCCAAAAAATATAAGGACTAAAATGATCATTTTGATAAATGTTGGCAGCTAATTTTGGTATTATGCCTTAAAAATATTATTATCTTTTAAGATTTTATGTTTGAGCCCGACATTTGCAAATATGTATAAACATTCATTGTCAAATAACTGGGAGTCTTTCGACGATATACTACCTTATAGTCCTCTTAAATTAATCAAATAATATATTTAAACATTGAGACGTCGCACTAACCAAGTGACTTTCGTAGTAAAGGAATCGTTGTTATTCCTAAGGACTCGGGTTCGAGCACTATAGATGTTAAGGGTGTGAGCATTTAATATCGGAATGTTTAAAATTATCTTTGAACAGATACTACCTCGTACTTACCACATATTAATAAAAAAACATTGAGACGTCCAAAATTCAAAAAAAAAACTTAATCCAAAATTATACCGAATCTTTAAGCATAACGATGAATGTTCCCTTTTGAATTTAATTAATGTAAGAAAACATATCTTCAAAAAAATAATGTAAGAAAACATGTGCACTACTCGGGAAAAGCTTTTTTTTTTTTAATTTTACAATTATATATTATATGGGTAGCTTTCATTTAATTTAATCATCGATCTTACAAAGCATTTATACACATATAATAATAATAATAATAATAATATCGACAACTAAACTAAGAATCATCCTTGATCCTTCTTCATCACGTGTGATTTATCCTTTTTCTATTATTACTTATATATAGAGTTAAGATTCACTTACATCTAGGGTAAAATTAATAATTTTACACTAGAGGCGGACCCAAGACAAAAATTCAGGGGTTGCAAGAGCCCCATGGGTGGCACTTTTGAGGGGTGACACTTGTATTAGGGGTGATACTTGTGGAGGGGTTGCTTGGGATACCCCGGGTACCATGGAGGTCCGCCCCTAGATGAGGGATTGCCCGGGATACACCGGGCACCATGGAGGTCCGCCCCTGTTTTACATATTTCAACGTCATTTGATAGAGAGAAATCAAATGATTAGATTAATTCATTGTTTTATCTTATCATTTCCTACTGTTAATCTCAACCTTTGATTTCTCTCATCAAATAGTCTTAAAAAGATGTAAAACTCTTAGTTTTTACCCTAGGTGTAAACGGATGTTGCCTATATATATATATATATGACCTGTATATTTAATTAAAATTTATAACCCATAAACAGATATATTTTTTCACTCATAATAAAACTACATTTTTTCTTTCTAGGATGAGAGTTTATGATTTAGAATTTAAGTTTTAGGGTTTAAGGTTTGAGATTCTAGGTTTAAGGTCTAAGATGAGATTAAGGTAAAAAGATATATTGTTTTATCGTGAGTTAAAATATATTTCTTATGGGTTATAAATTTTAATTAGATTTAAATAATTTTTTATTTAAATCTAATGACTATATTTAGTGTAAAACTAATAAATTTTACATAGGGTAAATAGATCCTACACTATATAAGTTCGAAAATAAATCATTAAAAGCACAACACTATTGGAGTTATTAATATTTTAATATTATTAAAATTCTTAAAATTTAAGATATATTAATCAAATTAAGATTCATTCGAGATTGATAATACTTTTGATACGGGACTAATTATGGTGGGATGTCAGCGTAATCCTCACCTGCATGTGCCTTAAATGCAGATACATGTGAAGCGACTATGTAGAACAAGGCAATATCATCATTTAATTTAATTAATTTTATTTATTTATTAAAAGAAAATGGCACTATAGGTTGGCACAGGAAACATCCTCGATTGTTCTGTCTTGATTATACTGTGTTCGAGAATCTGGACGTTTGGTTAATGGTTGAGATATTATATTTAAAATACCTGTACCTGTTGGTAGTTGTTCTTTATTGACGACGACAGTGTTTTTTTTAGTGACGACAGTTTTCTCGTACAGTGTTAGTTCTGCCCAAACGACAGTACTCTTTAGTGACGGCACCTACTAACGATAATCCTCTTTTACCGACATTTCTCGATGATTGAACTTTTTTTCTAGGGAGGATACTGATTTCGGTATATGTAATTTTATTTTCCAGTTCGACTCCCGACTCTAAGACCTCACATGACTAATTCGGATCAACTTACGTTGCATATTTAGTTTTGGTGTATGAGTTTCCTAGCGATAATTTTTTATATATACAAAGACTCGAATCCAAAACCTTGCTTAAGCAATATCAAGTTGCTTGTTTGTAAAACTAATATTTGAATTTATTTATCATTCTTTGAAAAAATTTGAATCAATTAAATTATGGGTAAAGTACACAAATAGTCCCTCGACTATAGGTGTTTTGTTGAGTCCCCGACTATTAAAAGTTACAAAATAGTCACTGGACTATTCATTATGTTCTAATCTCATCATTTATCGTTAAAAAAATAACGGTCATCTGAGTTGGACGTTATCATGCTGTCTGAGATATTATAGTCGTTTGAGATAATGAGATCATATTTTGTCATATTTTGGTCACCAGGTTAACGTATAGCTCAAATCGTCGTCAAATTTTAACGGAAAAAATAAGTTTGGAACATAATAAATAGTTAAGTTATCATTTTGTGACTTTTAATAGCAAAAGACTTAATAAAACAACTCCCTATAGTTGAAGAACTATTTTATAACTTTTAATAGTTAAGAGACTTAATAAATTATTATCCTATAGTCGGAGACTATTTGTATACTTTACTCTTAAATTATTATATTTATAATATGTTTGTTTTATTATATTACTAGTTAAAAAAATAAGATGGTAAATCATGTTATAATTATTCAAAATAAGATATATTGTTTATAGATGATAATTTGATTTGAATTTTTTATATTTTAATCTAACTCGATTTGATATAATTAATTTTTTCTTAAAAAATATATTTGTGTTTAAGTTTACAATAAAAAATCTTCGACTCAATTTGAAATAATAGTATAATTTAATTTTATGTGTTTACAGATAATCGTTATAAATACCATTTTTGAAATTTAGATGAAGTTAGGAAGTTGTCAAATTGGACTGCAATTGATTTTTAAAAGATAGGACTGAAATTATCAACGGATTTACTAAAGTGATAAACTATTTGATATCGTTTAAGTAAGGTCTTAGGTTTAAATTTTTGTATATGCACAAAATCCCTGTCGGGATACTCATTCATGGGAAAAATACAAGTGGAATTGAATCAATCAAATTCCACGTGTTAAAGTGATTAACAGCTAGGAATTGTTGATAGGAAGTCAAAGAGTTCAAGTCGTGGGGGAGTTTAATTACGTGGGGCATATAGACTTATAGCATATAGATATTCAACGTTGTTTTCACAACTTGGACCACTTTTACAAATGTCACACGGTTAAGATATTTTGGCTTAATATGTTTTTTAGTGTTTAAATTATATTTCAAAATAAGATTTTGTGTCTAATATTTTATCCGTTACACTATTAGGTGTCTACCGTTATATTTTTAAACTTTTATATGCATACAGTCATATTTTTTAAATTTTTTAATAAAAATATATTTTAAAAATAAACCCCTTCCTGCATCGTCCCTCTCTTTCCTATCCCCACCGTCGATGGCGAAAGGTCACCACCGGTCGAGTTTTGTTCGGAGCAGTACGAGGAACTCAATTGTGGCAGTTGTGTAACACATGAACGGTTGTAACTATCGAAATCGCCGGAAAACAATAATTAAAACCTAAAAATCCACATATCTTAGTGGCATTTTTCACGACTATCGGCGCAGTTTCACGGTGGGTGGGAAACTAGGTTTTGCTCGCTACGGTGAGACAATTCTGGTGGTGTCAACAGTGACACTCACAGATCGACAATAACCGATCGACGACGGAAGATGTAACATCTATGGGTTTGCCTTTTTAATTATAATATTAAGTTTTTTTAAAATAAAATAATTTTTAAAATTTTATATGTGTGACACGTGTCAGATAACAATCAAATTTAGAGGACGTTACGGTCCAGACACCTAAAACTGTAATGTTGGAAACGTTAGACAGCTACTGTTAGCAAAAAATTATTTAGACACCAAATCTTATTTTGAGGTATTGTTTAAGCACTAAACAGTGTATTAAGCCAAATATTTTTAATTCAATTACACTGTTGTTGTATCGTATAATAAAAATATGGGTAAAGTATACAAATGGTCTCTCAACTGTAAAATATTATTTTATTAAATCTCCAACAGTTAAAAATTATAAAACGATCATTCCACTATAAAATGTTATTTTATTTACTCCATCGACCATTTGTCATTTATCCTAAAAATATATTATTATTATTTTATTAATATAAGTAAATATAAAATAATATTTGTTTAAAGATAATTTCTCAACCATTTACCATTAAACGTTTACACCTTTGACATATATAGTGTTCAAACTTGAGATTTCAATAAATAACAATAATATTTGTACCATCGAAATTATTATATTATTGTTTAAAAAGATTAAAATATTAATGTATTTAAATAAACGTTAAATTTGGTGATTTAGGTCAATATGGGGTCGGTGGCTAGAAAGCCGTTAACATGTCTTATCCAGTAGCAGGTTTACAGGCTGGAGTTTGAGGAGCTGTCAATCAATTCTATTTGGCTGTTTTTGTCACGTCACCAATATTTTTTCTGAGTAAATTACAAATTTCGTCACCAAACTTTACTTACTCTCTTATTTTGATCACTAAACTTTAAAAGTTTATGATATCCTCTATGAACTTAATATATTAAAATTTTAGTCACTCTATATCGTTAAATGATTAGTAGTGTTAAAATGATGAAATAATTTTTTTACCAAAATAACGTCATTTTGAATATATATAAAAGCCCATTTATATCGTCATTAGTATGAAAACGACCGAGTGACCAAAAAATACAATATATTAAATTTATTTTTAATATTCTATCGTTAAATAGTAAACAAAATTAAAGTAGAGTGGGTAACATAGAAGAGACAGTAAAATTAAGTTGCCAAATTTATAATTTACCCTTTCACTCTTTGCACAACACCCGAAACCGAAAAAACGACAAAATCTAATTTGTCGGAAATATTATTTTAAAGTGCCACGTAATGGTTTCCAGGCTGGCGAAGTCAAAACTTATCCTCAATTTCTCGCGATTTTCTCACTCTTTCCTTATCAGTAACTTCCATAACTGTACGACTCAAATAAGGAAAACTACGACGTCAAATCCCTAAACTACCCCTAAGGATTTAGTGGGATTCTGCCAGAATTCAATTCCCGCGTTCGTGGCAAGAGTAGACGTTATACAGCTGCACGGGTTCTCAACCGGTTACTGGTCAATACCGGTCCATTTCAACGTTTATTACATGTATGGGTAAATTATACATTTGATAATTGAACTCTACTCTCTTATATTTCATTTATCGTATTTTATTTTTTATTTACTATCTAAATTTTATAGATTAAATATTTTTCACTCCGCTGGTAAATATTAAGGTCGCTATGAGTGACATGGATGTATTCTAATGAAAACGATGTCGTTTTAGATTAAATTTAAAGTTTTTCAAGAATTCAAAACGACGTCGTTTTGATGTAAGTTATCTTGTCATAACGCCGTTAATTATTTTAACGGCGGAGTGACAGAAAATATTCAATTTATAAAATTCAGTTAGTAGATTAAAAAATAAAAAATACAGTAAGTGAAACAGTAGAAAAAATAAATTTAAGTTACCAAACGTGTAATTTACCCTACTTGTATTTGTTAATCGGCTCTATCTGTTACCCTAATCATCCCCTATATAAGCCTCATTCGAGCTATAATTCGAACCTCCAAACCGGAAAAAAAAACTGAAATCGCTGGTTTATTTGTGAGCCGATGGATCAGGACGCTGATCGCGTGAAGGGTCCATGGGGACCGGAGGAGGACGAGGCATTGCGAAGGCTGGTTCAGCGCTACGGTCCGAGGAACTGGTCGTCGATATCGTGTTCGATCCCCGGTCGATCAGGGAAATCGTGCAGGCTGCGGTGGTGCAACCAGCTGTCACCGGAAGTCGAGCACCGTTCGTTCACGGCGGAGGAAGACGAGATCATCGTCATAGCGCACGCCAAGTTCGGCAACAAGTGGGCCACTATCGCAAGGATGCTCAACGGACGTACGGACAACGCGGTGAAGAACCACTGGAACTCGAGCTTGAAACGGAGACGGCCGGCCGAAGACGGAGATTCGGCTCAGAAATCGGAGATACGGCAGGGTAAATGTCCGAGATCCGTTAGTGTTAACAGTAACCCGTCGAGTCCTTCGGTTTCCGACGTCAGCGATTTGGCATTGAGCGGCGCCGACTCGAATCATCATCAGCAACACGCTCATGTTGTTTCGACTGCGCTCACACTCGGACGTTCTTGGAACGACGAGTTGGTTGAGTCGAACAACGGTAACTCGCGTACGGATAAAGAGCTGGGCTTACTAGCCGAAAACCGTCACGATAGCGGTACAACAACGGCGGCGTTTGGACCTGTATTAGTGGCCGTAATGCAGCAGATGATTAGGAAAGAAGTGAGAAATTGCATGGCAGAGTTTGGGTTCCGGAGTGAATGCTTGGATCAAAGGAAACATTAACTTGATTTTCCCAGAAATCTGAGAAAGAAAACGCCAGTAAAAAATCGAATCCCTTCGATTTCTTTTTTCTACACAAACCACACAATAATTTTGGAGGATGTACCGAAGATAAACGGAATCAAACAACAACTACAAAAAAAAAAAGAAAAGAAAATTTTGATCGATTTTGTTTTAAAAATCATTGAGTATTGATGTTTCTGAAATTTGTACCTTTTTATTCAAATTATACAATTTTTTTTTGTTTAAAAAATCTTGGGAATGACTCAATAAATTAATGTTATACGATTAAAAGTGGAGACTAACAGTGCGATGGCGATGAACATTTTTAATGGACCGTCCGACGGAGTTGATGGCCACACGCAATCGTCATATTGATACGCGAGCTTCTGAATAGGAAATGGGACTTGACTCATCATCACATTAGAAGAGAAGCTAATACGGTGACGGATAAGCTTGTTGCAATGGTTAGGGGATGCCGGTAAGAATGATTCTTTATCGAGAGCTTCCAAGTGAAGTGGCTGCCTTAGTTGCTCGGGACCAAAACTCAATGAGCTAAGTCTATATATTTCTGTATAATCGAAAAAAGATTAAAATTCTATTAAAATATTATCGAGAATAGGGTGCTTAATGAGTTGAGCACCTCGTGACCAGTTTGACCTCGACTTGAGATCTTAACGAACTAAGTCGAGCAAAGTTCAACTCGACTCGATAAGTTCGCGAGCAACTCGTTAAATTTTTTTACAACTTTTCAAAAGTTATCTTAAAAAAATTATTTTATTCAAAAAGTTACTAATTTACTAATAGATCTAATCTAATGATTTTCTAATAAATAATTAAGAATACTAAATTATTAATTATTAATTATTGTTTTACTACACTAAAAAATAAACTCTAATTATTATTTTAATGTATTTATGGATTGTTATTTTGGTATTTAGACTTTGAATTTGTTTCGCACACCCTTTTGATAACTTTTTTGCTATATTTATTAATTTATGTTTGTATTAAGTTCTATATAGTATTAGTAGATTTTATTTATAGTTAAAAAATAAAATAAAAATTAGGTGAGCTTAACGAGTAACGAACTTAATGAGCAACGAGTCGAGTAACAAATTTTCTTAACAAACACTAGTCAAGCAAAATTTTAACAAGTTTAACGAGCAACGAGTCAAATTAAGTCAATCAACAAATTTTTTTAATGATAATGAGTCGAACACTATCCAACTAGCGATCGACTCGCTCGATAAATGCCTTGATCGAAAAAATATGTTTTAAAGCGTCGAATGGAAGTCATTTTCGTCATTCAAGGAACTCATGAGCTCCGATGTAGTAAACACAGTGGACCACTGTCCGTACCAAAAGGACGTGTTTAAGAAACGAAAATTTATTAAGCGATTGAAGAATTCTATCCAAACCCATACACACGTTCAAAACGCTAACAAATAACATCAAAACATTGTTTTCTATTTCCACTTTTACCGACGATTTTAGGTGTCAACTTTTCATAGTCACTGATACTTGCCCACCCACCAACCACTAAATTTTGCTGGACAGCTCACCCATTGCCACCCACCACGTATTAGTAGTAATATCCTAGATTTTAAAATCGGTCTGTCATCATAATAACGACTGTAATTACATAACTACAATACTCGTAATAACATCCGTTATATCTGTAATTATACTATACACAATGTTACCAAAGACGCGATCGTGTCTGTAATTCATTAACCACATTCTTCAAACATTCATTATTCATTCAAACAACAAACAGAGGAAACAGAGTGGCGTTCAGAGTAGGTGATTTAGTTAATTTTTTTATTGATCAATCTTGCTTCCTGCAACATCGACGACGAACCGATATCGAACATCGTTCTTCTCGAGCCTCTCGATAGCCGTGTTTATGTAATCCATCTTCACCACTTCGATCATCGATCTCAAATCTTTCTCTTTACAGAATCCCAGCATCTCCTCTGTTTCCTTCATGCTTCCGATGAAGCTCCCTGTGATTTCTTTCCTGCCTATTTTCGACACCGAAAAAGGAAATGTTAAAAATTGGAATCATCGTTGTCGGAAACAAAAACGCGGAACGGAATTCGACTCACCGAGCATGAGCACAGGGGTGAGGAACTGGAGAGGGGTGTTGATGACACCGGTCAAGATCAATTTCCCATCGAGTCTCAGCAACGAAAGATAAGGCTCGAGTGGGTGAAAAACCGGCACGGTGTCGATGATGTAGTCGAGTGATTCCGTTGCCTTTCGCATACTTTCGGCGTCAGAGCTGACCAAGTATTCGTCGGCGCCGAGATGCTGGAGTGCCTCGAGTTTTTTCTTATCGGATGAGCTTATGACGGTCACATGGTGTCCCATTGCTTTTGCTATCTTCACCCCCATGTGGCCAACTCCTCCGAGTCCTAATACTCCCCCTCTTAACCCAATCGTGGTTAAACCGAAGTGGTTCAGCGGGCTGTAAACCGTGATCCCAGCACATAAGAGCGGCGCTACCTGCTCCGGCGACATTCCATCCGGGATTTTAACCACAAACCTAAAACAATAACAAAACTAATTCAGTCCAAGCCACTCCTACAATAGGCATACATGACATATGTGACCTTCAAGATTACATATTCCGAATCATTTCAGTAACTAATATGATCTTCGAGATTCGACAGTAACGTCTAGATCAGAATTCAATCTTACTTTTGATCAACCACCATGGAACCGGCAAAGCCACCTTGAGTCGGATTCCCATCAGTGTACACATCGTTGTATGACCAGATCTTCTTGGAACAGTATTGTTCACGGTCCGTGTTGCATGGCCTGCAGTTCCTGCAACACCCGACAAGACAACCGACGCCGACGATTTCGCCTGCGGCGAACTTGGTCACATCTGATCCTACTTCCACCACCTCACCAACCACTTCATGTCTGAGAAAACAATCACACTAGCAATGTAAATGAACATAATCGTTCGATAAACATAATCTCGTACGTTCAAAGTCGATTCATTTACGCTCCTGCGTCGAAAAAAAATAAAAAAAATAGAAAGTACCCAGGAACCATCGGGTAATTCGACATGCCGAGATCGTTTCTGGCTTGATGGATATCAGTGTGACAGATCCCACAGCAGATAACCTTGACGAAAACATCTTCCGGTCCGGTGTTTCTGCAAACATACGATGGTTTTTCATCAAAATCATCAAACAGAGAAACACAACCGACACACCAAACCTAAGATTACCTAAGGGAGTAAGTGTAAGGAGACAAGAAGCCTGAAGGGTCTCTAGCTGCCCACCCTGTAGTGTTTCTCTCGGTTTCAAGGCTGCCCATTTTAGAGTTCCGATCAACAATGGCGAGAGATTAGTGGGAAGAATAGGTGGTTTTATAATGGTAAAAGGTGGGCAAAACTCAAAAAGATGGCTTCACGGCTTCAACAAGAGATTGACATATCGGCAATGTATAGGACCATAGTAGGTGAGTGAAACTGAGAGATAGCCGGTGGTGGGGTTGTATTCCATGTGGTTTAAACGTGTGTAGCCTTCATGGAACTCCATTGTGATTGCTTCACTTCAAGAACCTAGATCATGCAATGTTATATTTGAAAGGAGAAGATGGAAAAGATCTTAGATTGAGTATATTTGATCGGATGATTAAGTAATTCGATGTATAGATATGTGTATGGTTTTACGATGTAAATAAAAAAATAGGGAGTTCACCCTGCCTTAATTATAGCAAAAAAAAAAATAGGGAATACCACATTTAATCGTAGAGCTCGATGCTAAATGGGAAGTGGAAACACTAAATAAGAATACGATTGATGATCACGTAACATTAATCTTGGTTAGAGATGAACACGAGACTCAAATTGAATGGGTTATTATTCGATTCTATTTGATCTGTCTTTTTAAAAAATCGGGTTCATATCAAATTTTTAGATGATGTTTTTAGATCGAGTTTGAGTTTAGGGTGAAAATATCTAACCTGATCTGATATGAAAAATAATATAACTCTACCTTATATATTTAGGGATAATTGTAATAATATCACTCTCTATATTATAATTTTTCAATTAGATCATTATTTTTATCGAAAAAATTAATATTTTTTGTAGATATATTTGTTTCGGTTCAGGTCGCGTTTGATTCAAATTTTATCTAAAAATTTAGATCAAATTCGGATTAGATGAAATCACCCTAAATCCGAGTAAGGTGAAATCACCCTAAAACCAACACAATACTATAGTAATTTTAGATGAACCTCGTACTAGTCTACGCTAGGCACTTTGAGGTTGTAGTTATTTTTTTATCCCTTCCTATTATTATACCAAAGAAATAATTTTTATATAAATTCTTTAATTTGATGATGAAATTAAAGGTCATAATTCTCAACTTTTTTGTTAATTTGTATTTTTGTCCCGTAATCTATTTATTTGAGAATTGCCCGTCCAGCTCAGTTGGTAGAGCGTAATGCTCTTAACCTTGTGGTCGTGGGATCAAATCTCACGGTGAGCAATTCATAATTGTTGGAGGTCTTCCACGGAAGTTGCTCTCAACCCAACGTTGGGAGCCAGCCTATTATCCTACCTCCTCCTTACCCTATTACATATGGGAATAGGGTCAGCTAAAATCTATTTATTTGATTTTATTTAAAGATTAAAAATATTTGATTTTGATTAATTTTAATTTGATTTGATATTAATGTAGAGTTGGTGGCCACATACTGTCTCTCATGTGGATTGAAGGAAACTTTTTTTCTTTCTAAATTGCAATTTCAAAGTAATATTATTTTTTAGTTAAAAAAGTAATATTAGTTTAAATAAAGTGGAATCTTTCTATGATCATTATTTAATTCAGGGACGTACGTAAGATTTTATGTTATGAGGACGGATTTGAATTTATAAAATTTCAGGGGGCAAACTCAAACTTATAAAATTTTAGGAAGACGAAACAAAATTTCAATAAAAATACATAGATGAAAACTAAAATTTATGGTAATTTTAAAGTTTTAGGGAACCGACCGCCCCATCTAGATCCATGATTTAATTAATGTCTCTTAAATGATTGTTTGTGAAATTTCACCTACAATATAGATTCTCTTTGAAGCAATACTAAGCACTAACTAGATATTTATTTATTTCTTGAATTAAATAATAATATATATATATATATATATATATATATATATATATATATATATATATATATAGATGTATTTTAGTAAGCAATTTTAACAAAATTATAAAAATAATTATTTAATTAATCACTTAATCTTGATATTATTTTATTACTCTATCGTTGATTAGTTAACGAGGTTATAATATTTTTATTTATCTTTTAAAAAATATAAAAGAGTCTAAAAATTTCTTTTATAGTTGTGGAAATACCCTTTAATTTTTTTGTATAAAAAATTAAATGAAAAAAAATGAGATGGCCTCACAATCTCACATCACCTATTGTTGTTTATTTAAAGCCCATGTTCTAAAAACAAAACAAAAAAAAAATCAAAAGTTTAGTGATTAAAATTAATATTTTAAAAGTTTAATTATCAAGATAAAATATTATCAAAGTTGAGTCGTAAAGACGTGGTTTACCCATAGAATAATTATTATAGGTTTCATTTTCAAAGTGTCATAAAATTATATACTAATCCAATGGGAAAATTACAATTTGATCTTCTAAAGGTTTACTTTTCAATTCTGCCCCTAATAGAGGCCTTAATTTTGTAGGTAGATGGTACTTTTATTTTTCATTTCTTTTAGAAATTAATAAATCAATTCAATATTACTTGATTTTTTTTTAAAATAAACTTCACCCCTTTAATTCATTTATTTTTTAGAAAGAGAAAATTATAGCAAATTTTCAACATGAAATAAATTGATAATTAATTGAAAGTGGGTTAGGTTATTTGGTTGATTATTTATATCCTTAAGAGTTTGAAATTGCCTGTTGCCTTCTTCCAACGTTCTTCTTGCTTAAACCGAAATGTTTGACTAAATATTTCATTCCCAACCTGGTCGGTTAGGTTTCTGATTAGGGATGAATATAAATCGGGTCGAGTTAAGATTTTATCTATTCAAACTAAATATGAATATTAATCTTTTTACCTGTCATTCGACTTAATTCGGATCTATAAAGGCTCCACTTGATTTGAATCTTGAGGGTAAAAATTTGACTTGATTCGTTTCGAGTCGATATATATATAATCCTTATTTTTTTTATTAGATACATTTAGGGGTGAGCGTTTGATCAAGTTGAGTCGAGTCAAAAAATTTCGAGTTATTCAAGTTGATGAATCCTATTTTACAACTCGGAGTTGATTTGAAATTTTTTCGAGTTGAGTCAAGTTTATAAATTTGAGTCGACTCGAATCAAATTTTTTAGTTTCTATTTAAATTTAATTGTAAATATTTACAATATTATGATATTATTTGCCAATTTAAATGATATTTTATAACCATATAGAATACATATATATTTTTCTTATTTTTTTTCATATGTAATTTACATATATTATACAAAGTCAAAGGATTCGACTCAAACTTTGACTGAAACTTGAAAATCAATCTATTAATTACAAAAAAATTAGAGTTATTCGAGTTATATTTTACTACTCGATTTAAAGTTGAAATTTTTTCGAGTTGAGTCAAGTTTATGAAATTACAACTTGAAGTCAGTTTGAGTCGAGATTTTTCAAGTCGAGTTGAAAAAAAATCAATTTTTCAATTCGAGTCGAGTTTTGCTCACTCCTAAATACATTAGATCAAATTGAAAAATAAAGAAAAAGAGTATTATTGCAATTAATTTTAAATCTATAAACAATAATTATAATATAATATCCGGATTGTATTAGATATTTTTCACTTTAAATCCGAACATGATGCAGTTTGATCCTTAAAAAAAATAATTCGACCATAGTCTATACCCAAACTTTCAAAACAAAAGCTATAACCCTATAAAGTTGCATTGAATCGGAACCCATCATGATTGAATCTAACGGCATAAGATTAATTCATTTTTGACTTGCTCAAACTTAACCTAACCTAAATATGGGCTTAAAATTTTGTCCAATCCCATCTATATATGTACAAAGATGACTAATTTAAATCCGTTTTCAACATGTTCATATTACTTTCCAGGGTGTATTATGTGTTTAGTACTTAAATTATCAGTTTTTGTTCGTTTTAGTACTTAAACTTAACCCAACCTAAAGTCTAGTTTTTGTTTCATTAGTATCTCGTTCAAAATCAAACGTTAAGTTTTAAAAAAATTGAAAGTTTAAGTACTAAAGCAGACCAAAACTAATAGTTTAGGTACTAAATGCGTTAAATTTTTAACAGTAGGGTACTAAAATGAAACAAAAACTAAATGATAGGTATGGATTTGAAAAAAATAAAAGTTTAGGTACTAAAACATATCAAAATTAATAGTTTATATACTAAATACGTAATTTACCCTATTTTTTATTTTGTAAAACAATTCATTTCTAATGGAGTAATTAATAGTTCTATTTTGAAATATTTTTTTAATGATGGATAACTTAATATATTTTTAATATTTATATTATAATATTATATAGAAAAAATCAATTCCTTTGTGTGATATTTGAACGGTATCCAATCTATTAATTGGCTAATCCGAATCGGAATACTGCAAAGTCAAGGTTGACCCTCCCAACCTAATTTGCTCCTTTCACAATCATTAGGATTCAAACCTCTTACATTGTTTAAGGGATTTAGTACCTCATCCCACTAGACCAACCGATATAAATATGATATTTTGTAAGTCTTGAATTAATTTATGTTTAAACTACAAACTTTTAAACTTTAATTTTATTTATATTTTCTAAAAACTATTTTTTTATTATTTTATGAAAATAATTTATATTATTTTATGAAAATTTGATCTCTTTACTATAATATATCAAGTTTTGATAATTATATTTTATTAAAATTCAATCGACTAACTTTGATAAACTTTGTGTTAAAACCATAGATAAAAAGTTAACCAAATTATCTAGGGAATGAGATAAATTTGGTGCTGTGAATAGGAAAATATATATTAACAGAGTCGTCCAATAATGAAATTTTGTAATATTCGATCGATCAATAGATTAGATACAACAGTTAAAAAATTAAAACATTAACAACACAAAGAAGGAAAAGAGGGGGAAATGAAGAGGGTGACGGAGAATTAAACAAGTTCAATAAGTTAACAAAGATTAATGGTGCATCCGACTGAAACTGAAATGACGAAGTCCTTTCGAGTAGCGACCGGACCCTTGGGAACAACCTTGGCTTGGTGGTGCTTCACTAGCTTTATGTCCTGGACCACTTGGACTCGGTCCCGAACGCTTCATTATCTCTACGAAAG